AGTAATTCAGTTAATTTTCAGAACTAGCAAAGTCAAAGGCATAGGGTGTAACCCTGCAAACTCCATAATGGCCTTCAAACAGGTCTTTGTTATAGAGATAATTAAGAGTGATCTGGACTCAAATCTCCAAATATGCTACCTGCTGGCAGTAAATCTGAGAAAACTTGGTATCTTCGCTGTAATACAGGAATACAAGTACTTACTTCACAAGGTTATAGTGAGGACTATAGGAGGTAAGACATGTAAATCCCTCAGTATGGAACCTGGTATATAGCAATAAATGATAGTTGATAGTTTTTGTTTAATTAGTCTCTATCCCTGTTCTTTCTCATCATGCAAATCCTTATCAAATATATCTTCCTAAAAACTCAGCTTTGATTATGCCACATCCACATTTAAGAACCTCAGTAATCTATCATCTATTAAATCAAGACCAAACTTTTTACCGTGGCCCTGTGCAATATTATATAAAGTACCATTCTGGTCTTATTTCCCTGTTTTCCCTTACTGATAACGACCGAGGCATTCCTGCTCTTTAGATCTTTTATGACTTGGCTCATCCTGTTCCCTTCTGCCTGGATGTTTTCCTCATAAAAGACTACCTTACTACCATCAATGCCAATAATATTAATGTAAATAACAACAAGGGCTACTCTTTGTTAAATGCCTACTTTGTGCCAGAGTTTCCTAATCACATCGTACATTATCTCATTTAACCTTTTAACTCAATAAAGTAGAAATTATCTTCATTTTACCTATGAGAAAACTGAGAATACCCAAGGTTACACATGAGCTAATAAGCAAGTCTGCTTAACTGAAAATCTTCTTAACCTGGATTGTACTGCCCATTTCAAATACTACTTCTTTCAGGGAACTTTTTTTTGGTAATATTTACAACCTGATGCAATTTCTCCTTAAACTTAATAGTACTTTAGAACCATTACAGGAAATAGTCTGGTTTTTATCTTTAAAAAAAAAATACATTTAACACATCCTCTCTGGTAAACACTAGCTTGAGGAGAGGGATTATATCTTATTTCTGACATTAGATTCTCAAAATACAGGAACTAGAATTTAATCTAGCAAAGTTCTGGTAATAATTTTCCAGCCTTTGCCAAGTGATACAGATTCTAGTCATAGAACACAAAGTTCATAACTTGTTAAGTCACAGACAATTCATTTGGCAATGAGGAAAAATTATGATTTTGCTTCCCTTTTAAATCTCATTGCTCCTTTCTTAAATGTTAATAAGTATCACAGTGTTCCCAACATAAACTAGCTTATATATTTAGTGAGAGGCTTCCTAACATTAGGAAAAAGAACAGACCATTAAAGGATTGATAATCCCACAAACAGAATGATAGGCCTATTGTCTTGTCAATATCACCACAAAAAATTTCAACTGATCGTTTAAATGTTTCTTGAAAGTTCTGTGTAATTACATAGCAATGTATTATATTAGTTATACAGAGGATTTAAAAATTTAAGAAAAGCAGACTTCATAGAAAATAAACTGACATGAGCATATCACACACTGCAGTACTTCAAATTAAGAAAATTTGTTTTCTGAATTCAGTGGCTATATTTTATTGAAGAACTTTCCATTTAAAAAAATCATGAAGCCTATATATAATATACAACCTCTCTTCAACAGGCTGGCTAAAATGGGGCCAAGGGATATGAAACAGCTTACAAGTTCGACAAGCCACGAGGATTTAAGAAACAATGGACTAAAATTTAAAATGTACTTCAGGCTCAGAGCATGACAAGAAGATTTTTTGCTAGTGCATACCCAGAGAACAGCTGGAGCACTGCCTAAACAGGAGCACTGCCAACTTTGGCTATGCGACACACTTCAACGGTCATCTTGTAAGTGACTATAGAAACCTAGGCAGGCAAAGTACTATATGAAGTAGTTCTATGACTCTGATATGTCACAAAAAGGACAATGACCTTATGCTATAAAAAGAAAAATATTAAAAAGTACCTCATTTTCCACCAAGATGCAATAAGATATGGCTCCTTACTCCCATCTTTAAAGTGCTTCTGCTACAGAAGCCTTATTTTTTTGTTTTATAATTACCATTTTCTGGTACCTCTATTTTGTAAATCAACCATTTTTTCCCATTTTAAAAGGCAAATTATCTAGAAATTTAATCTTTTCTATGAACTTACCTAAATAGACAATATTCAAAGACTTTCTTAAATGAATAATATTCACCTTTTCTGTTTTTTTTTCTTCCATTTTTAAAAAATGTTTTTATCATTTATCACCAGGAGAAAAAAAAACAAAAATATCCCCAGTACTTTATTTTACTCAGAGCAGGCATCAAACACGGCGACTACTTCCCAGCAATGTATTAGTACAACATTTCAGAGGCATCTGTAACTAGATGTTTCACAATATACTATGCACTGATGTTAACAAACCAAAATTTTTTCCTTTATGGTTAATTTATACTACTCCATCATCAACACTGAGAGGAAGATGTCAACCAAGTTCACATCTAAGAATCAGATTTTTTCAGATTTCCTTTTTCAAAAGACATAGTTCCATGCTGTCAGACATTTGTATATAGGTAGACAAGCAGCTAGTAAATTTTTAAAAGCATTCTCACAAAAGCATACTATTTAAACTTTTGGAGAATAGAAGGATCTATTTTCTAAAAGCTTAAGTAGCATGCTTTCCTGAGAAAGCTTTTTAAAATTCATCAACTGTTTATCTACCTATGTATAATTTAAATACTTTAGTAAAAGGCAGAATCTAAAAAAAATGTTTTCTTACCTCAGGAGCAAACATGGTCTCATAGGTAGGATTATACTGAACTTCTTTTATAGCAGGGTCAAGGTGAACTCCAGTCTCCAAATCTTCCTAAAAGAAAACCAAATGAATATTAAAGATCTTGTAAGTGATTATTTTATTTTAGAAGCCATATTAAGGTCACACCAGCCATTTTTCATGCCAACTTTATGATTATTACATCAGTACCATATGATTAATAATTCTAACAATCAAAGATTAATACAAATAATGTATACAATTAGTTCTAGAGGTTAAAATATATTAAAAACTTTTTTCTTTTCAAAATATTGACTTTATTAAAAATTTCTTAATAAGTTAACAGTACTCAAAGTCATAAATTTAAGAGATTCCAACTCTTCTTTTTTATTAACTCAAAACACCTGCTCTTCTGGTGCCAAATTCAGTAGAAGCACTCCTTTTTTATTCAGCAGACCATATTAGATATATAACCATATGGCGCTTGGTTAGGTACTGTAGAGGAAACAAAAGGAAGTGGCAAAGCCTCAATCTTCTAAATCTAAAGTCTTATAATCTATGTCAATGTTTCAACCTTCTTAAATTCATTCCCCAGTTTAACAGACATAAAAATCTCATTTCCACTGAAGAATCATGGTAGTCTATCTTTTCTGTAACCCGATCACTTACAAACATGACAACTCCCAGATTGGTATCTCTAGCTCGGACCTCTCTTCTGAACTCAAGACTCCCAGGACATCTAACAGATATTTCAAATTTAATAAATATATCCAAAAGGGAATTCCTAGTCTACTCTTCCCCAGTGAATCCTTCCAGGCTTCTCTATCTAAATTAATCACAATTCCATTCTTACAGCTGCTCACGTGAAAATCTCCAGAGTTATACCTGACTCCTCCTTCTTTTACTCTCTATATCCAATCTATCATCAAATCTTATACCTTCTACATACATCCAGAATTCATCCACTTTTAACAGCCTCTTTCTATCACCCTGGTCCCAACTCATCATCTTGCATCTGGATTATTGGAGTAGCTTTTTTTTTCTTTTTGGTAGATATGGGGTCTTGCTATGTTGCTCAGGCTGGTCTCCAACTCCTGGCCTCAAGCAATCCTCCTGCCTTGGCCTCCCAAAGTGCTGGGATTACAGGTGTGAGCCACCAAGCCTGACCTTGGAATAACTTCTCAACTGGTCTCCCTGCTTTCTGCCCTTGCCCACCCACAGCCTCATTCCACACAGGAGACAGGGCGATTTTTTCAAAACATTAGATTATGTTACTCCTTTGCTATAAACCCCTAGTAGCTTCCAAACTCAGAGTAAAAGTCTGACAAAGGCCTACAAAGCTCATTACCAGTTGTTCTCAGAAAGCAGGCATGGTTCCCTCGGGTAGTTTTAAGGGGCATTTTTATCTTTCTGTATTATCCTGAGTATTCACATATTAAAAACATGTTATTTGATTATAAATATCTTTCCTTTAGTGAGGACATTCAAGTTATATTTTAAAATTTTTAAAGAAATCACATGTCATCTATGAACTATATTTCAGTAAAGCTGGCATTATAAAATCGCTGTTGTAAAGTGAAGGAGTTGAGTCTAAGTGGTTGAGAATTTTACCTTCCCGGATCTGCCCTCTACCCTCTTCAACTTCTGTCTTCACCTAGCACTAAGCCTGTGTTCACTCTGCCCCAGTCTTACTGGTTCATTTGCATTCCTAGAATAAGCTAAAGGACAATCTCAGGGTCTCTGCACTTACAGTTCTTTCTTTTTGGAATGTTCTTCCCCTGGATATCCACATGATTATTCTCTCTCCTTTTAAGTCTCTGCTCAGTTTTTCTGCTTTCCCCTTGCCTTGTTTTTTTGCCATTATATCTATCATCACCTGACATATATGTTTATTATCTATCTCCCTCCACTAAAATGTAAGCTATACAAGGTGGATTTTATACAAGCAGATGTACAATCGACCCCTAGAACTATGCCTTTCATATCACCATCTTTATTCTGTTGGCTTCTTGCTGGTAGTTAAGATACATCCTTTCACACAATTCAAAGACAATGCAAAGTAACATCTCACCTTGACTACACTCCTGGCCTCTGGCTCCACATATGCAACTGCCTACTGAATTTCATTCTATGGATGTTCCACAGCAGCAAACACTATGCTATGTCCAAAACAACGTATCACTTCCCTATGGCTCCATCTTCACTAACAAATCAGGTACTTTCACTAATAAATCTTGCTGATGCTACCTCTGAATATTTCTCCAGCAACCCCACTTCCACCCTCCCTTCTCCACACCCCAGCTACCACTGTCCTAGTTTGAGGCTTCATTATATCTTGCCTGGTCTATTATAATACCTCCTTATCTGGTTTAATACACCCGCACTTTTGCTATATTAGACTAACTGCTGATTTTTAAAAATAGCAAGAACTTTGATGCTTTCTGTGCTGTAGGCAATGTTACTGCCTTGTATTTTAGGCATTTCCTTTATTATCTGATAGTATGTCATCTTCTTATTTTCCCTGATACCATCCCTCCTCCTGCCTCAGGAAAATTGCTTTTTTTATCCACAGACCCAAGTAATGCTGTACTCTTGAGAGTACTTTTGATATATTATTTGTTGCACATGACTTTTACTTATATCCTCACTGTCTAGTAGAATGCAGAGCATTCAGCACATGTTCAATAAATATTTGTTAAATTAAATAGAAGAAAGAAAAGCCAAATCCTTAGAGAAATTAAATAGGGTAAGGCTGACCAAAGATTATTGGACTTGGCAATTACATCACAAAAAACCTTTGCCAGAGTGACTTTAGTAGTGAAGAATAGTATGGAAAGCCAGTTGCAAGGGGCAGAGGTATAAACGAGGACTCAGAAAAACAAGACAGTAATAATTCTTTACTCTGCAGACATTTGGTGGTAAAAAACAGAAGAAGAGATAGGATGTCAGGTTGAAGAATTTTCAGTGTAAAATTAAGTTTCTCTTCCTCCTTAAAAAAGACTAAGTCGAAGACATAGTCAATCACAGGCTAGAGGAAAGGTGACAGCAAGAAGAAAGACATGACAAGAATAAGGGGATATTCAAAGGTCTGGTTATTTTAGAAGAGGTAAGACGGGATAGAATCCAGGACACAGTTGGAAGATTAACCTCTAAAAAGAGGACTGCACTCTTTGAGACGAAATAGAGATAACAAAGATAAGAATGGGTGCTAGGCAATAGGTGTTTGGAGATGTTGGGAGATTTGGGAATCATAATTGATCTTTTTATTTTCTTAGTGTAGCCAGGGTACAGGCATCTTTATAAAACAAGTACAGCAACTTCAGATTCATTTATTCATTCAACAAAAATTTTGATTGTGTGCCTACTATGTGCTAGGCACTGTTCTAGGTCCATAGAAATAGACAAAGACACCTGCCTTTGTGGAGTTTAGATGCTAGTGGGGGAGACAGGCAATCATCCATATAATAAATAGATGAATTACCACAATGAACAATGTTAAAGAGACCCAACTAGTAACAAACAAAAAAATTATTGGCAGATTAACTAGGTATATCAGTCAGGGTTCTTGGTTGCAAGCAACAGGCTGACTCAACAGTATTGAATCCTTATGAGTTTCTCTTAGAATTGCCAGGAAGGGTGGAGAACCAGGAATAAAGGGATGGAATCAAAATTCAAAATCAATCATATCGGCCAGACGCGGTGACTCACGCCTGTAATCCTAGCACTCTGGGAGGCCGAGGCGGGTGGATTGTTTGAGCTCAGGAGTTCGAAACCAGCCTGAGCAAGAACGAGACCCTGTCTCTACTAAAAATAGAAAGAAATTAATCAGACAACTAAAAATATATAGAAAAAATTAGCCGGGCATGGTGGCGCATGCCTGTAGTCCCAGCTACTCAGGAGGCTGAGGCAGTAGGATCGCTTGAGCCCCGGAGTTTGAGGTTGCTGTGAGCTAGGATGACGCCACAGCACTCTAGCCTGGGCAACACAGTGAGACTCTGTCTCCAAAAAAAAAAAAAAAACAAAAAAACAATCATATCACAGGGCCAATCCAGTGAAGAAAACAGTTTATCAATAATGAACACCATTACTAAACTGCTATGGCTGCCATTGGATACAGCTATTGAAAGTACTGGCCTGAGAAACTAGAAAATGTTGGTCACCTTAAAATCCTCTTTCCTTACTTCTTTGTGGATTAGTTTCAGATTACAAAACTTAGATGGGTGCATCTGTTTGGCTGAGTCCAATTTATAGTCCTGATCCTTAGCTGAAAGGGAGCTAGAAGAATGAGAATTTGGGTTTTCAGCTTCTGGAGGTGGGTAGCAAACAGGGATGTTCTTCACATTAAGATTCTTAAGGAAGGGGATTCAAATGCTGGGCCATCTAAAAGATGACAAATATATATCATCCTTGGATACACACTAGAATCTTCACTGATTAAAGATAGTATCTTACCTATGGTCCAACACGAAAACCAATACCATAAAGTTAAAAGGTCACATACAATTCTTTAAACTGCACAAAAACAAAATGCTTTTCCCTCTAAATATTCAAAGCCTCAGTGACAAACTGCTTAAAATAACAAGAGGCTTAGCCATATTTATACCCACCCCAAAGGATCTTTTTTATCCTTTGAGACAGGGTCTTACCCGTGCTAGAGTACAGCAGCATCATCACAGCTCACTGCAGCCTTCAACTCCTGACCTGGGCTAAAGCGATCATTCTGCCTCAGCCTCCTGAGTAGCTAAACATACAGTCATGCATCACCACACCCGACTAATTTTTAAATTTTTTGTATAGAGACAGGGTATTGTTATGTTGCCTTGCTGGTGTCGAACTCCTGGCATCAAGTGATCTCCCTGCCTTGGCCTCCCAAAGTGCTGGGATTACAGGTGTGAACGAACGACCGTGCCCGGCCTCCTGTGGATTTTAGTTCAGTTGCTAGAAACACTTTATAATATGGGTTACCAGATCTTTCCAATTAAGGGTATTTAAAATATTCTAAATTTGAATTATTTTGAACAGAGTATCAAAAGATATCAACTTTTAAATGCAAAGTATAATTTTAAAAACCTACTCTTTATATAAGTAACAAT